GGAGCTGTCCTGACTCCGGAGGCAGCGGCAAAGCTAATTGACGACCTCAAAGCCCAGATCTCAAGCAACATGGACAACACAGCGGGCAACACGGTGGACCGCGTCATGAAGCTGGTCCCGGAGTATGTGAAGAATAATTTGGTGCACGGAATTCAATATGTTCTGCAAGCCCAGACCAATCCCGACGATGGGTCTGTCCTGACGCACGTGAGGAAGATGTACCTTGCGCTACAGCCTACGCGCATTTTGGCACAAAACGCCCTTGATGACATGCAAGGATCGCTTCAACTCTGGTTGGAAAGCCAAATTGTGCAGAAGGTGGATGCAGTGATAGACCTGATGGCAAAACTTCAGGTCGAGATGAGCTCCTTCAACGACACGTCAGGAGCAAACCACACGGCCAAGGTCACCGCCGACTTGGAGAAGATCATCGCCTACATCGAGCAGCTTTTTGAGAGGCACGAGTCACACAAAGACCGTGCTATGGAGCAATCGTCGCAGACGCATGCCCTGATGAACCACGTCAAGCAGACAAATGGCTTGGCCAACAGCTGCCTGAACCAAGTGAACCAGGTGAGCAACACCCAGTGGACTCACAGCGACCAGCTGTCCAGCCTGCATGAGACCCAACGTGAGCAGGATGACAAGCTGAAGAAGCAGTCGGACACTTTGTCCAAACTGCAGAGCCAGCTGGAGAAGATCATCTTGAAACTTACCCCCGCTATGCCCACCAAAGCGCCTCCTCCTCAGCCACCGACGGCCTCGACTACACCTGCTGGGACTGCGACTTCGACTCCAACGACACCCGCGCCACAAGTCCCAGCACAAGCACAGCCTACGACTCCTGTGCATCCTGCTGGACCGCCACAATCTTGCAGCCCTCCGCATGGTGGACCTGAGCCGCCTGTCATCCGCTTGAGTGACCAGATGGGACCGAGACAGCCTCTCCAACTTTTCGAGAGCCTGACTGTGCCTTCGCGCTGGCCGTCACAACCCTTCGATCCCCGAGATCCCAGGGCACAACAGGCCTTGGCATATCTCATGGGAATTTTCAACAGTCAGTGAGTGTAGAGCCCTTCCAGAGTGTCATGTTCTTTACCCCTGCATTTCCGTCTTTGTTCCTATCTTATTTGGGCTGTTCTCTGTAATCTTCCTACCTGTTCGGGCCTTAGATTGCTCCCAACATAATTTGGGCCTCGCACTCCTGCACCACCGTGATTGAATTTACTGCATGATCCTAATTCCTAATTCATTGGCGCATGGAAACCTGTAATTCGTAATGATCTTGTTGCCTCTGCTCCACGGCTGAAAAAATATGGGCCACAATGACAGTCCTCTTCACCCGCGCCTACGTCATGAAAGCTGAGAGCTGTTTTGTTAGTTTGCGTCTGTCCTCTCCCTGCCTTCGTGTATGTCTGACCCTTGGCTCACAGCCCCCCATTAGTAGACATGTCACGTCGTCTTGTCAGGGAACTTGTAAAGGAATATGAGGTTGAGGACCGTGCAGCCCTTGCCATGTCCGCATTGGATTGCCTTGAAATTGAGGAACAGTGTAAGCTAATTGCAGACACTGTCCGTGAGGTCCCCAACAAGTTTTGGGGAACAGACGAGGGGACCAATCTGTACATCGTAATTGGACAATGCCCCAGAACACATGGACGGGTGACCAACTTCACTACCCTTTTCCCGAACCTCAGCTTACTCCTGGCGCATTTCATTCAGCTAGTCCAACCTGAACCCATCCCATACACGACCGTCTCCATCAGAACAGGCCCAGGGAAACCTCCACACCGAGATGTAAGAAACTCCCATGCTCCCACAACTATTATTGGGCTCACTGATTTTACCAAGGGTCGTCTCTGGATTGAACACCCTAAAGGTACGACAAGTGGCTGGGCCCCGGGATCACAAGACAAACACCAAGGCTTTTTCCATAGCATCCGACATCAAGCTGTCCTTTTTTCAGGAAAGACACTACTTCATGGGACCGAACGTTGGAATGATGGTGAAAGGATTGTAGTCAATGCTTGGTGCCCCCAACATGCTGTTGACAACACCGAATACTTTAATACTGTCCTGCACCTACGCGGCATGCAGCCCCCGACCCATGGTAAAGACCTTGACGAATTTGCACTATCTACGTACTATGGTCACCATGTCGTACGACAGTTGCGAATCTGTGAATCCCTACAAGCCCAAGAAGCCCCTGAGCTGGTGACCTCATCCTCTTCAGAATCAGATGACGTCAAGGAGGCCTTTGACGGTGAGCGCTCACGCTCCCGCTCGCCGTCACGAGTGGACTAAGGATTGGACCACCCCGGACCGCAATGGGTGAATGTAATACTCGCCCCCTGCGAGTCCCCTGGCCCACTAATCGTGGCCACGCTCCTTAATTAGTTGTGCAGCTTGGGATGCCGGAGTTCCTGAGTTTTTATTTCGGGTCCTTCTGCTTCAGATCTTCGGTTTCTCTTTTGGGCTTACTCCTCACTTTTAATACGTTATTGACGGCCCTTGACTAGAGTCTTGCTTGTAACTTCGTCCTTTCACTCTAGATGCCTTGCAAGGAACAGGAGGGTTGCTTTCGAATTCGTGTACTGTACTCACCTAAATTCGTCTCAGGACGTTACGGACGCTGCAAGAGATTATCGTACCTAATTCGTAATTTGCTGCC